AAAGTTTCATTATTTAAAAATTTTGGTTTTGAATTAGAGCCTCACTCAAGTGTGTAAGATTAATTTTGTATGATTAGAGTCCTACTACGTACATGTATTAGAGTTGAAGCTATACACTTATTTTGAAAACTAAATTGATATGGTATTCATTCCGAGAATTATACTCCATTAATATGGTTATTATTAAGAAGTTGTTCTTTAGGTCTGATATCAATATTTAGATAATATTACCTGAAATAGGACTAAAAATGTTTGAAAATTCCAAAATATGACTGTCATATTTTTACTCCAAAAAAAGTACTAATTGCTGTCATGTTTTGGCAGTACCAGACTTCAAATATGACAGTATTTTCCAAACTTGACAGTAATTACTCCTATTTTGGGAATAAAAAACATGACAGCCCTATTTTGTAATTTTCAAACTGTTTTAGTCCTATTTGGGGAACTTTCCCCAATATTTATGATTTGAAATTTTTAAGATATGGTTTGATCTTATCTGAATAGTTATGATATGGTCGAATCTTGTATGATCCTGCAGTATGAATCTTTCAGATCTATTCTGATTGTTTTTGATTTGGTCTGCATTTTTCTGATTTTGATCTGATTTGAATCATTCCGATCTGATCTAAATATTTTTTATGTGATTGAGTGTTTTTTAGAATTATTAAGTTATTATTATGATTATCGTTGTAATTATTACCATCCTATTTATAATTATAATTATCATTATAATTACAACTATAAATATAATTATAATTACAATTATAACTGCCACTATAAATATAATATCATTTTATTATCATTATAGTGATCCTTGTTTTTATAATTGCGCTATCATCATAATAAGCGATATCAATACCATTGTAATATGTAGTATTACTTTTTTAATAATGCTCACTTATAAATACCAAAAACAATAAAAATACATTAATAATAATAATAATATTGTTAAATAATAATATTCTCATTAATAAAAACCATAGTAATAATATATGATGTTTTATGAATAACAATAACATACAAATAATGAGTAAAATAATAACAATATTCATAATTAATTTTAAAGGAAGCAACCTACAATAATAACCTACAAAAATATTTAGATCAAATTGGAATCATCATAGTAATAAAAGTAATAAAAGTAATAAGTTATGTTTGAACCTTTCTGATTTGATTAGAATATTTCTTGTATGATCTCATTTTTTTATTTAATGTGATCTGGTTTGAATGTTTAGTCATTTGATTGTTATTACTTCCCAGTAATACTCCTCAGTAATTTTTTTATTTAATCTGATCCGGTTTGAATGTTTTAGTCAGTAATACTTCTCAGTAATATTACCATCTTTTGGATTGTTTAGTCATTTGATTTAAAAAGAATTACTTACCAATTGAAATTTGCTTGATTATATTAGAGGTATTGTTGACCGTTGCCTTTTATCGGATTATATAAGCGAGTAGTAAATAGCGGATTTGATCAGCATATTTGACCGACGGATTAGTTTGGCGGGTTGCGGAAAAATGTTTGGTAAATTAACTGTTTACTTATAGCGGTTAGTAGATAAAAAGACCAAAAGGAGCATTATAAATTTAATCATATCTTTTTTTTAATACGTATGATTATTTAGGATTATATTAATTTTAAAATTAACTAATTAACTAAATAAGAATATGATAATAAAAACTGAAACTACATAGCATTCGGGTGATATGAGGTCATGATTTTAAGAATAATGAAGGTTGCAAAAGGATAAATAACCTGAAAAAGTGTAAATAATAATAAATACACAGAGTTCTGAAGAAGGATAAAACTATGACAATATTACCCGAAATAGGACTAAAACAGTTTGAAAATTCCAAAATAGGACTGCCATGTTTTTTATTCCCAAAATAGGACTAATTACTACCATGTTTTGGCAGTACCAGACTTCAAACATGACAATATTTTCCAAACATGGCAGTAATTACTCCTATTTTGGAAATAAAAACATGACAGTCCTATTTTGGAATTTTCAAACTATTTTAGTCCTATTTTGGGAACTTTCCCTAAAACTACATAGCTATGTGTATATAATAATATACGTAGTAAATATCAATACTTGTATAAATTAAAACACATCCAACTTATTGTTTTTGATGAAATGTAAGTATATTAAAAGAATAACAAAGAAAACAAAGGTTCAGAATGTACAAGGACAAAGGGAAACTTATTGTTCTAGAGAAGGACCCGAAGGGCTTTTTCAGAAAAATCCAAGGGCTTTAAAATAGAGAAACAACGGAAGGCACCGAACGAATTATATCCAAGGGCTTTAAAACAGATCGCAGCAACAACAGAAAACGAAGATGAGAGGGCGAAGATGAGAGGGCAGCTTGTGGAATTCAACAATTGTTTCAATCCGCCAAAACCTAAATGCTCCGATTTATAGCTTTTTTGTTTTTGGCGGTTTCATCCCAAACGCCGCTGCTAACCTCCATTTGCGAAACGAAAAAAACAGAGGTTTGGGTCCTCCAAAACGCCGAAGCAGTCAAAAATGCTGATTTTGGGCTCAAACGCCAAAATCCAAACGAAGCCAAATATCACTACTAGAAAAAAACTTTTAATGACCACGTTATAACGATGACTCTTTCAAACCGTCGTTAAAAATATCACTTAACGACGAATAATAAGTTCGTCGTTCAATAGTTTATCTTTAACGACCACATATAAAAAGTGGTCGGTATTAGTTACTAATTTGTTGTCGTTGTTAGTAATTTTTTTAGTCATATATTTTTAAATTAAATTGATGAAAAATTAAAATTTCAAAAGTTACTATCCCGAGCGTTTTAGCGTAGAAGCGCCTGGAATTTTCAAATTAAGATTTTTAAAAAGCCTCAAATGTTTTGAATTGTACTCTTTACTTTTTATGAGTACTTTATCAGTAATGATAGTACATTACAATAAACATAAGTAGAACAAGTACAAGTGATACTAGTCTAATAATGCATGAATAATAAAAGGGGTGACATCATCAACATAATAAACATACAAATCATCAAAATCTAGGGGACCTAACATAGTAGTTCCTAATCACTCATGATTAAATATTTAGGTGGGGTAGTTGGTAGAAAACATCCCGCCTACCTGGGGCGACTTACTACTCCGAGGGCTTGGAATCCCTTTAGGGGGTGTCACACATAAGGTAGTCATTCCGATTCCATTGAGCAGTTGTACAGTGGTACCGACAAAAGTCCCGGGGTGACCGTACACAACAATGGACCACCGGCTCAACCAAAGTGTTGAGTACCGCACTTCTAAATTAATAGGAAGTTAGTGAAAAAGTGATTTTTGAGAAATTCAAAGAGAAGAGGATTTTGGTGTTTTATGTATTTTTGAAATTGTTATGGTTTATGAGTTATGTGATTGGAACTTTGTATAAGTATTGTTTTACTAATGATTATTATGTTTTGAAAATATTTTTCTCCAAAATGTTTTACAAAAAGTATATATACGTATCAAATTATATTATTTTACGGGGTTGGGTGGAACTTACTTAGCATTTCCGGCTAATTTTTGTTTCTTTGTGTTTTCTTTTTTAACTAGGCGGTGCTTTGATGATGATGTTGATTTCGAGAGAGCTTCCGCTAGAAAACATAATTCGTAAATCATTGTAATTTTATTTTCAAGAAAATAGCGAACAATTGTTATGAAGGTGGTTAGCCTCTTTGCACTTGGTTAGGTTATAACTGAGTGTGGCAGTCCTGTAGGGGATAGGGGTCTCCATTGGCGGCACCGTCCGGCCAAATCGTCCTCAAATTGGTGGCGGTCAAGCTCTGTAGCAGGCTTCCATGGATGCCGCTTCCTTCTCTCTCTGTTGCACCTTCATTTCCGACCAATCCATCTTCAAGGCTGCTGTTGATGAGCGCCCATGTTCATCGCCGGAGGGATTCGCTGCAAGCTTAGGTTTTTTATGCAAATAGGACGACGTCATTAGGGGCCGGTACACCTTGCGCAAGGTGTACCGGTTGCACGGTATAAATTGCGACTTAGAACCAGGAAAGGGAATATTATTATATTGATTTTATGAGATTGGATCTTGGAAAATATACTCCATAATGTTTGTGAGGGACTCTCATCCCTTTACACCACTCGATTTAATGTTTTATCTTTTTGGATACAAGAAAGAAAATTCAATAATGGAAGAATGTTTATTTGATAATTTATACTTCCTTTGTCCATTTGCAATTTACGGCTTTAAATTTATGGGTTAGTTAGGAATAAAGTTAAATCTTTTGTGTAGACAAATAATTTTTTTACTAATTAAGACTAGCATTTTTTGAAACTAAATTGAAAGATCAATAAAGTCACCAAATTCAAATTAATGTATAGTAAAAACATGATATCCTAAATAAGTCAATAAAATCAAATTGTGCTGACTAAGAAAGGTAGATTACATATGCAAATCATTTTGGGACGAAGGAAGTATTAATTAAATATCTCTATCAAGTAATATCTATTAATTTATTACAATTACATAATTTGTGAGTATATTTTCAAATACAATGGCTGACTGAAAAAGTTTCTATCTGGTAATTGAAAATCACAAATACTTGTGTATAAGTATGGTGAAAAAATAAATACAGCCCATTATTAATTAAATAAAAATATATGACTACCCGGCAAAGAAAATGTAGTAACAATGGCAATCAACCTACGGTGACTAGTATGTGTGTGTTCAGTTTAAGGATAATAAACAGTATGTGGTAATTGAATTATACTTACTATCTTTTCAGCAACTTCTTTCACCTCCTCATCGTACCCACCATCTTTCTTTTGTCTGCCCAATAGCCATGTATCAGCCCGATCAAGATCCTTCAAGCTAGCTCCAAGTTCCTTTATCTAACAATTTTGAAAATTGAAATATAAAACTTACTTGTTATAACACTAATATATCTTCATCTTCAGTAAAACACTTATAGTGATATTATTACTACTATAATTAACAACAGAAAAATAACCAAAATACCTTCCTCTTCAATAAACCACTATAGCCGGATGACCCCAACCTGTGGTTATACTTGTTCTTCTTTCTTCTTGCTTTCCCCTTGTTGCTCTTTGCCTAGGATCATTTTAGTAGCATCATCAAAATTTACTAAGAGTTAAAGTATTTTTTTGCTTTCATAGTTTTTAGAACAAAGAGACTACATTTTTATGAACTTTTCAGAATGCATTATTTGACTTACTAAAAATTCTGCTTTGAAACTTTTCAGGACAAACAGTTTCCACTCATCAGTGGGTATGTGCTCGTACTCTTTTGGAGGTAAGCGCAACATCTTCAAATTGTCCTTGTGCGGGAAGATGAATTCATTCCTTAAGGTAGACCTGAAATTCCTCAAAGCTACTCCCATTGTACTCAAAACTTGCTTCTTACCCTTAGGACTCACGACAAACAATTTCTGGAACATACAAACATAATGAAATGATTAGTGCAGCACCACAAATTAAAATAAGTAGCCACAAACTGTTAGTTGTTACCTTAATATGCTTCCATAGCTTCTCTTTCTGTTGATCTTTTACTAGTCTCCAATCATCAAATAGTATCGACACATTATCTCTAACTACAACTCCTATATAATTGGCCAACTCAGTCCAGCCATCACCTGAAAGAACACCAAACTCATTTGCCTGGACAATCACTTTGTCATCACTAGCCTTCTTGAGCAAAAGTTTCTTCTTTGTCTTTTGTCTCCTACACGGTCTCGCAACATACTTATCTTCTTCCTCCTCAGTTTCCCAGTCATTCAGATCTTCTTCAGCAGCAGACATAACTGGTTATGTGATCTTGAAGATAAAACATGGATTGAAATTCAATTAAGGTTTAAAAAACGTTATATAACATGACACAAATAGTATATTAAAATAGGACTAAAGCACTATATAATCACTTACACATAGGTGCATCACATATTACTCTATTATAAATGTCCTCATCATCTGGATTCTCCTCATTAATGAGCGGTGTTGGATACTTTAGAGTTAGAGGTTCATGTATAACCATATCTTCTGACGCATCATGTAAACTATTACTCACCCTTTGACCAACTGAACAAACAACTGATTTTCTATTATCAAGTTGATCTTTAACGTAAAAGACTTGTTTGGCATGAGATGGTAAAATGAACTGGTCATTTTTATGACCAAGTTTTTTCAGATCTACTATTGTGAAGCCCAGTTTATCTTTAGTTATGTGCCTACCATCAACCCAATCACACTTGAATACGACCCTCTTGGTCATGAGGTAGTGAACCACCCAAATTTCATCGAGCACACCATAAAAATTTGTGGATGCCATTAAAGGACTGTTATTTGTATAACTCGACACTCGTACCGAATCTGCCTCATCGAGCACACCATAAAAATATTTAATAGTAAATAAGACAGTGTACTATAAGTGTAGTATACAGTGACTTCAAAATCTTCAATAGCTAAAGTGTTTGGTTCTTCTTTATGAATTCAAGCAAATGAAAAGAAGTGTCAAGTACAAACATTTGTCAATTAATAAAGGGAAAAGGTGCAAATAGGCCCATGTACTAACCAAAAAAGGTCAAATAAGCCCTTATTTAGGAGGTTTTGTCCGGTCGTCACCATTTGGAGTGGTTCCCGGTGGAATTTTTTGATGAAATTTTTTGAGCATCTTATTTATTAAGTCTACTTTACTCATACCAAATTTCAGCTAAAACTTCAATCGGGAAGGCATTCAAATGAATTCTTGAAAATAACTGGGCAGTTAGAAGCGCATTTATCTTCAAGAATTCATTTGAATGCCTTCCCGATTGAAGTTTTAGCTGAAATTTGGTATGAGTAAACTAGACTTGATGAATAAGATGCTCAAAAAAATTCATCAAAAAATTCCACCGGGAACCACCCCAAATGACGACGGCCAGACAGAACTTCCTAAATAAGGGCTTATTTGACCTTTTTTGGTTAGTACATGGGCCTATTTGCACCTTTTCCCATTAATAAACAAAGAAAGAACTCACTGCATTTTCCTTTTTCAAATATAAAACTTACTGCATTTGGGGTTGTATTGTTTTATAGGTCATTAAAAGTGTTTGTGTTTATTTCATATAATTAAATGACTTCTTCTACAGATTTTATGAAAAATATTTAATTGCATAATAAGACATTGTATTAATAGAGTAGTACACAGTGATTTTTAAATCTTCAACAACTCAAGTGTTTGGTTCTCTTGTATTCGATCAAATGAAAAGATGTGTTAAGTACATCTTCATTGCTCACTTCTTTGAGCCTAGAACCAAACAACAGATAACACACAAATTCTTAAAAACGATGTTTTTAAAAGCAAATACCAGATAAGTTAATCTTTAAGGTTTGGAAGAGCCCTAACTCTCTTTATGAGTTACTAAGTTGGGCTTAGAATAAAATTCAATGTAAAGCCAAAATATACCTGTTTGTGTTCAAACGAAGAAGAGTATACTTCATTGAAAAAAACAGATTCCCAACTATGCCAAATTCAAGTTTGGAACATAAACTATTAGGCTGGACAGAAAATTAAAGTTTAACCTGTCATACATTCATATAATAAACGAGTTGTACCACTTTGGAACTGCTCCAACTCCAAAGAAATGAGTATATGCACCAAATTGAAAACACCATAGACCATAAAAATGTTCAAAAGTAACTAGTCCAGACAATTTATTACTTATGATAAATCAATATAAGCTAAGGCCAATGTAAAACAATTTCAACCCTCGGAATCAGGAACTCCAGCAAAAATACATAGCCTATTGGTACACTTGTACTGAAAACAATAAAAACATATCTGAATCATATACATAATATTCATTGAAAATTAAACAAAAAACAGGGGATAAAATTAAAAAAAAAACCAAGAACATAGGCAGCCACAATTATTGGTAAGGACTTAAAGATTGAGAGTAAGGTCTTCCTTGATATTTCTTCCATGAGTTTGAAGCAAGAATCAATGGATGTGTGTTCAAAGCAATCAATAACTTACACATACAACATGCTGAACTCACCAACATACTGAGATAAATTACCAAAGAACAATTAGGATGTTCATTCATTTACTAAAATTGCAACATTAAATCGATGTTTTGTACCATGGACTGAAAATGCCATTAAATTATATGGAGGGTAATAATAATACGAACCTGCAGGCGGCTTGATAGAAGATTGAGAGTATCTTGTGTTCTAGCTTCGTAGATGACCTAGTTTGGTGTTCGTCGCACACAATCGATTCTTAGGAGTTGAATTAGCGCAGATTGGTTGGTGTTCGTACACGACCAAGAGTCGTGATGTTCTTCTCAGTCCAGACGACGAGAGACGTGATGTTCTTCCTAGGCCAGACGATCGAGAGCCGTCCGTCTTCTTCGCAGCTTTCAGGAGTGGCGTGAGAGTAGTGTATTTAGCAGAGAATGAACATCGCTCAATCTAGGGTTCTTACTAAGGGGTTTCAAGCAAGAGAGAAGGTTGGTTTATTTTGGTCTTTCAATTTGGGCTGTGTGAGTTATACGAAAAAAGAAGCGAAATGAAAAATTGTTAAGGAAAGAAAGGGCGGGTTACTAAAAATAGATGGCGGGGATATATTTGTGGAGGGAAATGAAGAGTGAAAATTTTGTAAAGGTTAAAATTCAACACTTTTTTAATATAGTGTCATTATTATGTATTGATGTTTTAGTGTCACATAACTATGACACTTATATGTCATTAATACTATATGTCGTTTATCAGTGACACTACAGACAAAAGTGTCACTAAACAAGTGTCACTGTAAGGGAACACTCCCCAACATTAATTAACAATGAGATTAAGGGAAGAATTAATATTCAAGGGAAGAAGTTAAGAAAATAACTCACAACTTTAATAATCAACAAGATTCAAGAGCAACACCAAGATATGGAAGTTTAGCTCCTCATTTGGAGACTAAACATGCTATAAGAATATAAAAGAAATACGGAGTACTATTCTAAATTGAGCTTAAGAGTATGGAAGAAGGAGTGATTATTTGTGAAGGAAAAGTGTGCTATTTATAGGTGTTTTTCAACACCTTGGGCCGGGTACCCGACCAGGTTAGGTACCTACCCGACCGGGTCCGGTCAAAATCAGATATCCTCCACGTTCTGGTGATCTTCGGCACGTTGTTTTGTCTCGGGTCAAGTCAGACCCGACCGGGTCAATTAGGGGACCCGACCGGGTCTTGAAGCTTCGTGTGATTCTTCGGATTTTACATCAGACCCGACCGGGTCAAGTAGATGCCCCGACCGGGTCCAGTTGTTTCCTGTGATGCTTCAGTTGTTAAATCAGACCCGACCGGGTGAAGTCTTCTACCCAATCGGGTATTTGCTCCTGGACAGTCAAAATTACTTTTTCTTCACTTCAAAGTCCTCCTCTTCAACACCATAATTCCTGATTCTACTTTACAACAAATGAAGATTAAAATACAATTACAACTAAAATCACACAAATGTTTACAAACTAAATAGAACGGTAAACAACCCACACGAATCAAACATAAAAACATACGTTTATGCACTACTAATTAGTGCATATCAATATACTTTTCCAATGAGTTATTTTTTTTGTAAAAAAAAAAATTAGTAAACTTTGTTAATTTTATTAATTAAAATTTTAATGTGTTTAGTTATTATGTGTAATATGGGAATGAGTATGTTGTTACACTAAAAAAGTACTTCGTATAATGTATAAAGTAAATGTGCATAGGTGTGACATTATAAAATAAAAATAATAAACTTTGTAATTCTAGAATAAGAATTTAAAAAGTTGTTATATATCTAATGGCTAAATCTAGTGATAGTCTAACAAATGAATGTAATTAGATTTGTGGATTTTGCATGAAAATGAGTTTTATACCATATTTAAATGATTATAATGTTTAAAAGAAATGAGCATTGATATGAAATTACAAAATGATAACAAAAAGATTTCATATGAGTATGCCGTAAAATTATATACAACAATGTGTATTAATATAGCATTCTAAAATGAACACAACTAGCTAGTGAAAGCATTTCTCAAACATTTTCAATGTCCATGTAGAGTATGCTCTGAAAGAAAAATGTTTCTTTCGATGTAGCATTCTTTCGAAATAGTTTCAACTTCGTATGCTCAATTAAAATGACTTCAATTGTTATATTCAACATGGTTAATAATGAAAGTATCAAGCAGACATTGACGTGGACAGAGCACATCCAAACAAGCTTGCAGGAGGCGGTGCTGTCCAGATATATAGCACTACCTGCCTGATCCAGTGATGGGGGATTTCTGTGAGGCAAGGGATGGACGGGTAGTAGGAGAGCTCCTCCCAGTATCTTTGGCGGGGGCTGCTCAAACCGCATCTTCCTTTTTCAGTGGCTGGAAAAACTGGGACACTTTATTCTATTTTTTGTCGTTTTTCTCAAAACAATTTAGTTTCTTTTATTTCTCATTCTAGTAGCAGGTGCAGCGGTGCTGTTGGTGGAGTCTACCATATTGTGGGGTTAGCGATTTGTGTCGCTACTAAGCGATCATTCAACTATGTGTCTCATCCCAGCGTAGCCTTTCAGTTAACGAGATAAATTCACCGTGAGCGTATGTTTATTATCGATCAGTATTTATAGTACAAAATACATGGTAGAGATAAACATGCGGCATAGGAATTCCTATCCACGCTGATACCTTTGGCTAAGAATTACAAGAGCCGTGTAGGCACCTAATACGGAAGCAAGTAGCTTGA